TTCAGATCTTTCGAATAAAGAAATTTTATTACGAATAGACAATACCACAGCTATTTGTTACATAAACAGAGCAGGTGGTATACAGTTCCCTCATCTGAGTGATCTGTCTAGAAGAATTTGGCAATGGTGCGAAAGGAGAAAATTATGGATCCGTGCAGCTTATATTCCCTCCAAGGAAAACACTCAGGCAGATACAGCCTCTAGAAATACAAATTTTGACACAGAATGGGAATTATCTGATAGGTGTTTCAATCAGATAGTTAAAAAATTTGGAATGCCCGCGGTCGATCTATTTGCTTCAAGAACAAATAAAAAATGTAAAACGTTTTATTCCAGATTCCCAGACCCAGATGCCTCAGCAGTAGATGCTTTTACTGTTTCTTGGAGGAATAAAAACTTCTACGCTTTTCCTCCTTTCGCACTTATTTTACGCACACTAAGAAAAATTATGATTGATCAAGCAAAGGGAGTGGTTGTAGTACCTTTGTGGTCCTCACAAGCGTGGTTTCCTTTATACAATTCCCTTCTTACGTCAGAACCATTAATTTTTAAACCGAGTAAAAGACTCTTAATATCTCCTTACAGAAACAAAAAACATCCGTTGGCATCCCACCTTTCCCTGGTGGCAGGGATGTTATCTTATCGGCAATGTCAAAGAAAGGCGTAAGGGAAGATGCTATAGAGATAATACTTAATTCTATTTCGATTTCAACATTAAAGCAATACCAAAGTGCATTGAAGAGCTGGTGGAAGTTTACACATAATAGAGGACTAGATATCTATAATGCTCCAACTGCCGATATCTTAAGTTTCTTAGCCAAAAAACTAAACGAAGGAGCAAGTTATAGTGTATTAAACACAAGCAGATCTGCCATTTCTCTTATTTCTTTAAGAGATATTTCTCATGATAGTCTTATAACTCGTTTCTTCAAAGGAGTCTTTAAACAAAGACCGACTAAACCTAAATATGCTAGCACTTAGGATACATCTCCGGTCTTAAAGTATATAGAAAACCTTCTTTCTATGCCCCAACTAAAAATGAAAGCGGCGGCTGAGAAAGTAGCAACTTTATTAGCCTTATCAACAGCACACAGGCTTCAAATTTTAGCTTTAATTAATATAGATAATATCTCAAAATCTACCGCTGGAATTATGATAAAGATCCCTGACCTGATTAAAACATCAAGACCAGGATCCTTTCAACCAGAGTTACACTTACCATTTTTTGAAGAAAGGTACAATCTGTGTGTTGCATCCTGTGTCTTAGAATATTTAAAAATCACAGAACATGTAAGAGACAAAAATAACAAACGTCTTTTGATTTCGACTATTAAACCTTATGGACTGGCGAGCCCGCAAACTATAGGCCACTGGATAAAATCCTTGTTATCAAAAGCGGGTATTGATACAGACCAATTCTCCGCATATAGCACCAGACATGCAGCAGTGTCTGCTGCTTTCAAAAAAGGAGTGGATATAGCAACTATTAGACAAACAGCCGGGTGGTCGTCACAGTCTCAAACATTTTTCAAATTTTATAATAGACCTATACAACCACCTAATGATTTTTTTGCGCGCTCTGTCTTATTATAAAATAAGTATATTGTTATAATTTTATTTAAAGAAAATAAAATATTAAAAAAGTGTGTTATTGAATACGCTAAAAATCTACAAAGTTAATTATTCTATCATCGAGAACGAGACGGTTGTTATAATAAGACGATCAAACGAGCCTGCCTTCGGCTGATGATTCAGTTATCTTCGAACATTCATAGTGGTGTCACATATTTACTAACTGCGGAATAATGGATATCGATTTTATAATTTTGACGTTAAAAATTACATATTGACGAATAGATTGCGTAGTGTACTGACTGATTTAGACATCTTTGAATAATGTTGTCCATCTCCAAAGCTGACTTCTTTCTTACGATCTACTAATCGCTAGAAGAACAATAGTTGG